GACTTATTCTCCATAAGAATAACGTTACATGGGAATTTTAAAATTACAATTTTTTTGAATTTTCTCCGTAACAATTAGGCGCATAATAACGCTTCAATATACTAAATTATTTGTTTTTTTAAGCTCTACAAAATGGTTTGAAAAGAAATTGTGAAATTTTGTGTTTTTAGGGTCAAAAATGGGAAAAACCTATTTTTACCCCATAATCCCCCGTTCCCATTGTCCGATCATGCTGGTTCGCAAACTCATTCAAGGTTATCCTGCCTTACACCTTCAAATCAAATTTTATCAAAATCGGACAAAAATTACTCAAGTTATTGTGCGGATGGACACATATATATATATATATATCTATATATAGATATATACAAATTTGAACGAATGGTGTTTTTGGCCTCTGGGGACATCAAAATGAAAAAAGTAAATCGGTCCCGGGCTTAGGTCTTACCATGAGACCTATGGTTAGCTACTTCCCTATAGGGAAATTCGCTAAAATGAAGACTTCAACCTTTCATTAAGATTATCAAGTTCACAATTTGACATATGATGAAAAACAGTAGCACTGAATAAAAATGGACTGGATATGATTCCAAACGGAACCCTACAAAATCGATACTTCTCAATATTATCATTAGTAGGTGCTGACAAAGGATCTTTGAGCCACAGAAATCTAGTTACATCTCTGTCTGGAGTTTGAAGATTTATTTGCCTTCTCTATCTCAGCAATAATTCCAATAGCATTCATTCTAAAGCGTAAAAGTAAACTAAATAGATTTCCAAAATTACAGGTCCACGGTAAAGACAATCATTAAGACTATTGTTGCTTTTTCTGGTTTTGGCTGACGCGTCATGCACTATCCTGAGTTTAGTTGAGGTTTTCGACTCAGTGATAATAGGGTGATGAGGTATATAGTGAATTACTCCATCGTTTCTGTCTGAAAAACTCACTCGTTCGATTATACCTTCTTTTAATTGGGTTTGAATTACCGAGTCGTATTCACATAGAAGATTATGTTTGTCTGAAAGTCTGTCTGTTAAAGATTTCAAACGACCGAGAGAAAGATTGTAGTTTGTGGGTAAATTTGGGGGATAATCTTTCCAAGGCCAGGACACTGAACAACGACCATTCTAAAATTTAACAGTTTCATTAAATTTATTCAATGCGATGTCATCATCTTTCACGTGTGGGTCATCCTTAATACCAATAGTCTCTAATTGCCACAAGTTTTTGAATTCGTCACCTTCACAAATATTGATATCTGGCTTTAAAGTTTGTGGTGACCTAGGAAATAGGTTGTTGGGTTTTACTAGAGTAAGAAAAGATGACTCGTACATCAGAGGGAAATGATCATTGTTATCGTTATGCCTACCAGTTACGATCCAACCAAATTTGCTATTCACTAAGAACAAGCCTGGTGAAATTTCTATTTTCTGGCCCTGAATAATATCAAAATAATAATCGTTCCCTATTAATAGATCAATGTTTTGTGCAGTAAACTGGCCGTCTGCTAACCTTAATTTGGGATAGGAGGAAGCAATCTATAATATTAAAACGAAACAGTGTTTTTTTATTTCACGATTCTGAATCAACGACTCGACGGATTTTCATGATTTTTGTGTTGAAAGAAAGATAATTTTGAGAACTAGGGAATGTCGAAGGGTTAGTTTAGGGTCCCAGTTTTTTAGAAATTAAGTTTTAATTTTTTAAAAGTCTAGCAGCCGACGCTAAGATTCTAAACTAGCTTTTGGCGTAAAATAATTTGCTTAACATAACAGCTGTCAACATTCAGCTTTTGTGTCACAAATTCAGCATTTGGATAAAAATGCAAAGACATACTTAGGGTTGACTTATTTATACTATGTGTAATGCAAATCATTGATACGTTCAATTCTGCTGTAAGAGGATGACAGATTAATTAAATTATACAAAGTAAAATAGTAGGATGTTCAAATTATTTTTTTAAAGCAATCTTTGTAATCTTCGATTTGTTTTAGAGCAATATAATTTGTTTTAACTAACAGCTGGTTAAATATAAACTATGGAACTATGAGGTTATTTTATTTACTCTTATTTTGTCATTGATTATAGGAAATAAGTAAGATTAGTAGAGATTATTAGACCACAGTTTAAAATAATTTAGACCAAAATTAATTAAACCACAGTACAAATCGAGGCTCTGTACACGAGTCTTAATAAAAAAGGATAAATGCAAATTATTTTACTACTCCACTTTTCAAGGAAAGAATAGAAAAATAACAATGTTTACATGTTTTAATTCTTCATGGTAGTTTTTTGTTTACAATTAATGTTTGTCTGCTTTAACTTTGTTTGGATTAGGCCCGGAGATATTGATGTCATAAAAATAAGATCAAGAATAATCAGGAATCACTATTTTAAATTACCACCACAACCTCAGCCGGGTTTTAAACAAAGATAAACAGATGGATGACATAGATTGAACACAACGTCAACATTGACCTAGGATACTGCAATTAGACAAACCATCCTTTTATGAAATCGTGTTCAGTTGTGGTTACGTTTGGGGGTGCCTATATCAGCGCCCCCAAACGTGAAAATATCACTTTTATTTCAACTATGAATATATTGTAGTTTAAATCAACTAATATGGGAAATTACGATGTACATTTATTCAATGAGGGTGGGTAATTATCAAGGATAGAACTGATAACGGTTTGGATAATAAACATTGGCAATTACGTCATTAGCTTTACTAGCGTGTTTACTTTTTATATTCCTGCTACATGTGACCAGTTCTTTTTTTCAAATGAATGTTATTTGAACCAAACAGCTGTTTCAAAACAAACTGTTATTGTTTTTACTTTTCTTTGTTTACACTTATTTATTTAGAAATCAATGCAGTGAAATTTATGTAAAGGATAGGTGTGACGATTAGTTTTGATGTTAGGACACCAAAGTTAAATTATGTGTACTGTGAATTTTATTGGATATTATCGTTTTATTTTAGGTCGTTTCTTTTCAGACCTACTGGAAATTGTGCATAGTAGTTGTATTTTGGTGATAGTAACTATACGGAAGAGGCAGGTATGCTCCATAGCATACCTGCCTCTTCCATTATTACTATACACTATATAGTATACTATACTTATTAGTACTATTAGTACTATATACTATACACTATTAGTATACTATACTATACACATAATTAAGGTGGTATCGTTGACTAGGTCTATACACTTCTCAATTGACTATTATTCTCTCTACCGCAGGCTACTTATAATCAGTGTGCGTCTGTACGAATCGGCTGTAAATCTCACTTAAACGCTTTTCACATCGTAAAAATTGCAGAATTGCTGTTTTATTGTAAAATTATCAGATTTAAAATGCATATCGCATAGGCCTATGATTGAATAAAAACATATTTGGTCACACAACATTTGTTTACAAGATGGTTTTTCACATTAAAACTGCAAGAAACTTTGCCTTTATTTGTGTTAACTAGCTGATCTGAATTGTACATGGTTTTAACTGACTACTGAATTCCCGTACGTAGGACGGGCTAACACCTCGTTGTATTTAAGTTGATATTGGTACTAGAAACTACCTTCCCAGTGATATGTGGAACAATGTTTACTGTAATATCCAGACATGTTCAGCTGTAATCGAACATCTGTTATTTGAGTCTCAACAGTTTTAGATTCACGGTTCCCGAAGGTAAATAAAGACAATGATTGACAATATTTACCATTCAAACTCAGTTTAGAAGCCAAACCTTTGGACACATAAGACCTCTGACTACGACTATAAAAAAATACACCACAAGGCGTTTCTTGGTTAGTATCAGCATTACGCAAAGTAATAGTTGCAGTTTGAAGAATAACACTCCGACATAGAAATTAAAGCAGGCTCTTCCGTATTTACAGGTCCCTTGCTCGGGTTGAAGTTACTTGCAGGCAAAGCTTTGGCATGATTAGTTGATCGGGTGTCTACTTTGCAGTGTTTCTAGAAATTTGGTCTGTTGGAAACTGTTTGGTACATAAGCTTCTATTGTGATTATTCTGCTGTTTACAGTAAGCACACCTTTTATGTGATTTACACAATTTCACAGTGTGTCCTTTACTTAAACATACGTAGCACCTACCTCAAATTGCTTGCTTGCGTGCCTCAGCAGATTGATATTTTTTACACTGGTCATTCCAATGTGTTCCTTCACAAAAAATACAAGTTAATTTATCGTTTCCCATGAGGGAGTGGGTCAACCTCTTAGTGTCCGCCTGTGGATTGGGAACAGTACCAAAATTATTAGAGTAAGATGAAGTGCTAGTTGTTGACCTCGTCAGTTGCTCTGCTTTCTCCCTAATCAAAATTAAGTTATTTACAAAATTGCACTAAGTTTTAACATCCATATCCCCAGAAATATTCATTTCTTCAACTTTCAAAACAATTTCATAGGGCGGCATACTGAACATTTGAGAAACAAAGTAGTTAGAAGTAACGTCTTCACCTAAGGCTTGAAGACAACGCATATGTTTCTCAATGTTGTCAAATCCTCGCCTTAGTGTTACTGTGTCACTAGACTTGATAGGTGGTATATCCCTCAAGGCACAGTAATGAGAATTCACTATTACCGTACCTTTTTCTTAGCAAATCTGTCTTTCAACAAGGTAATAGCAATATCATAGTTTAGTTATGTAATGGGGAGTCCAGCGATGCAACGTTTGGCGTCACCTCTTAATTGTGCTATCAAATAGTTAAATTTGTCAACGTTACTGAGTGTGGGGTGGTTATGAATGGCAGACTCAAAACTATCCCAAAACTCCTGCCACCGTAGCATGTCCTCTTTTCACATTCAGAACATTTTATAGCCTCTGATGACATTAACCCAAAGAGAAAATCGGTCCTTGGCCTATGTCTTACCATGATGAGACCTACCCTACGGTAATACCTTTCTTCCCTATATGGGAAATTTGCCAAAATGGATTGTTTTTGTTCTTGTACATTAATCTATACTTTATTTTAGGAATCTCAATGGCAACAAAAATCAAGCTAATGCATCATTGCTAAACTTAGACAATGGGGTTTTTTGGCTTTTTGGTGGAGCAAGAAGTATTACAAAGGGCAATAAAGAAAACTATAATTCAGAAAATAACACATTTTCAAACTCTAATTTTATAGTTTTAACATTTCTTACCCTCGGTTTTTCAGCATACTATCTGAAAGGTAAGAATTAAAATAGGTAATACAATACATTTATTAAAGCAAGTTAACCCAATTAAATGAACCTCTCTAACATTTGTGTTACACGCTTAACTCATGTATAAGTTTAAAACTAACCTCTTCTTCATTATCCCTCATTCTTTTTTCCACTGAGATTTAGCATAACTGTATCAAGAATAAGACTATCATAGTGGAATAATCGCATTCAATCAATTTTAATATGGAAATCAAGACGTAATATTTTCACTTATCGACAGTAATTTGCTAACATTACAAGATGCCATACTTGGACTTAACTATGAAAGATAAATTTTCTAAACTATTATTTTGACTGTCTATGATCAATATATACTACCTAAAATGTGTAATCCGTAATGTGTGTTTAAAGTCATAATGTTTGGAAATCAGAAAACATGTTTCAATATGACAAAAGAAATTAAATGGTCGTAGAACGATTGGCACACATTTTTAGCCGATTTGGAATAGCACGACTGGCACAATCATTAGAGGGGCTTAAGAAGGGTCAACCTGTAAGGTTCGGAAAGGCACGATTGGCACAACAGACCGGTAAGGAAGTAGCAGCCAGGTAGCCAGAATGCGGGAAACTGATATTGTTTTGTCCCCACAAATTTCCTACTGTGGTGCTTATTGGAGTAAGGAAGGTGTAAGTTTGCACGATAAATCTGCAGCTACGGTCACTACGCTAGCTGGATCCAAATAAAACTAGACAAACCTAACCTAACCTAACCTAACTTAACCTAACTTAACTTAACCTAACCTAACCTAACCTAACTTAACCTTTGAAAATACGCTATATTACCGGCAAATGACTTAGTAGCAGAGTTGACGGGGAATTTTAAACTACCCGTGTTCCCTCGTTCGATGGCGTCTACCTGGTCGAGCGGTTGTGCCAATCGTGCCTTTTCCAAGCAGGCGAGTTGACCCTACTTATTCCGCTCAAATGATTGTGCCAATACTGCCATGGGCAGAAGATCCAAAAATGTGTGCCAATCGTCCCGTTCCCAATAAAATTATACAAATTTATCAACACATAATCTCAGCTTCTACAAAAAAAAAACCTAATATATGGGATCAACATTTCTAAACCATTTTCCTACCCAAATAAAAAGTAAAATAAACCAAAATGATAAGAAAACTAGTTAAGAATAATTTGCTGCTAAAGTGTTGTTATTCATTCAAAGAGTTTTTCAATGTATACAGATGTTTGAAATTGTATACGTTCTGCTGGTGAAAAAAACTTTATATGTAATTTCTGTTTTCTCTGTAAAATGAAATACAAATTTTAAAAATTAGCTGTAGTCTGATATTGACATTTGACACTATTCTTATTGTAGTATACAATATGAATAAAGATTTTTTTGATTCTGATTCTGAATATGGCTTACTTGTTTTCTGCCTCTTCAGAAAAGTTAAGAGTAAAATCTTATATTAATTTTGACAAGTGCTATATTTAAATCACAAATGTTCAGGATACATGTTTATTTTCAGAACAGAAGCAAAAAGTTCACTTAAAGGAGAAAACGTTGGAAACTGGAAGTTTCATTCCTAATTTACCGTCATACAGTCTAGAAGATGTTGCGAAGCATGATACTGTTGCCACAAGAGTATGGGTGACGTATAAGCAAGGTAAAGAAACGTCTTGAATTACTACCGGTACCACAAAATAAATCTTTTATGTACTGAGTTTTTACAACTAGACCTACGTTTTAGCGAATTTCCCATGTAGGGAATAAGCTGTTACCGTAGGTCTTATGGCAAGACCTAGACCCGGGAAAAATGTGAAGAATAAAAACTTTGTTAAGTTGCATTTTTTTTTTCATTTTGTGTATTGCCTTCCGGATTAATTTACAAATTATCACAAGATGTTAGGTTGTCTTTGTACCCAAGTAATCCTCAAATTGTCTATATGGTGATCAGTTTCAACATCTATTGTGTCATTATCAAGCTGGACATAATATCTATTAGCCTACTTGTAGGAGGTCGTCCATAAGTCGTAAAAAACACATAACACACACTGTCACACATGATCACAAACAAAACTTGATAGAATGCTTGGCCATACCATCTCATTACAACATGGCTGTGAGTACAAGGTTTAGGTCTAGACTCACCTAAAACTGCCTGTTTCACTGATCTTACCTGCTATTCAAATTTTTCCCTTACAATTTAAGTGCATTCCATGCCTTGTATGCAGGTCTCTACTAGCCTTGCTGGCCCCCACCAGAGTAACATCAAACTCAATAACTCAACAAATACCTTTAATAATCACATCAGTTGTCCTTGTTTCTGCATTCAAACAAAAGACTATTCCACCAAGTCTCTTCTTCCAACAAGTCGTACCATTTAGGAAGTTCAATTTTGCGTTAATGGTGATTTTTAAAGTCTTAATTATGAAGTCAATGGCCAATTGTGCTTCGTTACAAGATACATCATTAGTGCCAGAGAGAACTACTAAAAAAATCGTTGTCCTTTAAGTTTTCTCCATGAAGTTCTTATGGCTGAAAACTTTATTAGCTCTTCCCCCAGGTCTAAAAAAGCCTAGTGGTTGTTTATTTTTACAACCAACCACGACAGAGCCTTACATTGGCTGACAGAACAAAGAAAACTTCTTGGACGTGTGACTTCTTAAGCTTCATTATCAGTGTTTGCTGCCAGGTCCAAGATCTTCCTCTATGAGAGAGAGAGCTGCAAATGAAGGCCTTGTAGTGTTCCTCAGTATTAAAGGTTTACTCCAACGATATAAACAACTCATGGATCGCTGGCTCAGTGTTGGCCACACGGTCTAGCTTCCCCCACCCTCTACTGACAGAAGCCGACGCAGACGACACACTCGTCAATATAAAACACCCATATTTAGTTGCTGCTCTGTTGAAATATACAGGGATAAAATATTGCCAACACATGTCAAACTCTTTTTACTATTTAAACCTTTATGCCTTTTTTGTTTTTTACAGATAAAAACCCATCTGAATTCTTTAAAATTACAATTCACTAAACTTGATTTTTAGACAACTGATATTGCTAGTTCCAAATTCTACATGGTAAAATAATAAGTAATTACAAAGTATAAATAGAAAGTACCATATTTGTAATTTATAATTTATTTTTAATACAACCGACTTAAGAGGCGGCAGGAGTCAAGTTCTAAATCGTCAATCTGCTACTCCTGCAATTGTAAGTTCCGCAACCCGCACGGCTAGCGTCTGACCTTGAGCAGTATTGATCGTCGAAACTTCTATGGATATACAGTAGCTGTGCTGACAAACGGGCAGTGGCAGTGCCTACCTTTCGAAATGGTCTATACTGACTGAGGGTCGAATGAACCTGTCGTCTTTTTACACCAACATACTTATACTCAACCTACAATGCTACACTTATTTTGTTATGTAAACATTAAAAATAAATATGGTACTAGCTGTAACCCGCGGGCTTTGCCCCGTTTAACTTCTTAATTTTCAAGATTATCTCGTTCGCATGGCTCAATCACGTCCTGGTTGAAGTTTGTTCGCTACGCTCACTCACCTTTAGGTTGGAGCTCGTTCGCTACGCTCACTCACCTTTAGGTTGGAGCTCGTTCGCTACGCTCACTCACCTTTAGGTTGGAGCTCGTTCGCTGCGCTCACTTGCCTTCAGGTTAGCTCGTTCGCTACGCTAACTCGCCTCCAGGTTGAAGTTCGTTCGCTACGCTCACTCACCTTTTGGTTGCAAATTAGCTGTTGTCATAAATGTAAAAGAAATAATAGTGCTGCACCCTGTTGGTAATCCTTGTAACTTTAATGCTATTGAACATCATAGAACAGAACCAACTTGTTTAATTGAAACAGCTGTTAAGATTCAATAATTCCATTTCTCATAAGGTTAACATGGGAAACTCCAGAGCCACTGGGGCGGAGCCCGAAAGGATTTTTGAAATAAGAATATGCCTATATGTTAATCGGGAATGTGAGCTATCATCATGCCAAATTTCAGCCCAAATCGACCAGTATTTTTCGAGTTTACTTTTCCCATACACACATACACACTTACAGCAACCACCTCTTTTTTATAATAGTATAGATAGATTTTACTTGAAAAGCTGTTGATTAATACTATTATTATTACTATATTATTTTGGTGAATCAAAACTGATCTAAATTTAAACATTTATGTTCATGCTTATATACAATTTACTTCATAGCATCAAATTAAATGCTGATCAATGTTATTTTAAATTCCCAACACTGTATACTGTATACAACAGGGAAAGTATAAAACAGTTTTTTTCTTCTCCTGAAAAGTTTGATATTTTGTGGTTATAAGGTTTGTAAATTAAGGTATAGACTATAGTGGAGAAAACATTAAAACGTTTACTTTGAAATAGTAATTTTAAACATTTACAGTACAACAATTCCAGCTTTTTAAAATACATGCAACATTTTTACCAACCATTTTCATAGTTTTACAAGTTTACTCTGTTTTTTCTGCCTTCTTTTCTTTAGATTTTGTCTGAGCCTCTACTATATACGAAGGATTCCTTATGGGCATAGACAATGCCGAGGGTCGATGATTTCGGGTAGTATGCAATTCATGTAGATTTTTTTTAGTTTTGGCAACATTTCTTCCTGCCAAAACTGTTCATCCCGCTCTATTGTTTCAGTTTTTATTCCCTGTGGTGTCCATAGGTAAAATATGCACGTTCTTCTCTTCGTGACTTGAAGTTGGCCTTGAACTTCATAATAAAAGTGGTGTTTTTTTTTATATCACCAATTTTCCCATCCTTAGTGACTGCCCAAAAGGTACATTTCCGCTTTCTGATAGCCTCGTCAGGTGTCATATCTTTAGCAGAAGATGGACATTAAATTTCAACAATTCCATCTTCATTCAGAAGGCCATCAGGACTTTCACCGAGATAGGGGTTGTCGCGGTCTATGAAAAGGCCGCATTTACTTATCTTTTGACCTAACACGTTTTCGAGTTCTTGTCGAGCCACTTCTTCATTTTTCCTACCATAGGCCATGGCCTAGATTTGTTTTACGATTTTTTCACAACCCGTTGTTGCTCTCATATTGCAAACACGCCCGAAGTTCGAAGCTGTCGAAAGATTTCGGCGAATCTCTAGCCACTCATTTGAATCGCTTTGTTCCACCGTTTCTCTTTCAATTCTTTTGAATTCTGCTTCTGACTTGTGTAAGGTTGCTAAAAAATCACTTTTTTCTTTTTCTATAGTTTTTTTGTCAATATCGGGCCGTTGTGCTTCAATACCGTAGTCTTTTCCATCAGCAATTTTTTCCCGATCAAATAGTGTTTTCCTGCACCTTTTTCTTTGTCTTTGGCTGTCCACCTTCTTCTTCCTCTTCATTGCCACACTTTTTGCGAATACCCCTGGACTAGCACCGTACATTTGTTTGTGCAGCTTGTAGTGTGCTAGTCCAGAGTTGTGTTGAATGACAGCAGCTGTACATCTAGTCTGATATGAACCACTAGCAGCAAAGTTTATTCTTTTGCCGCCAATAAATTTGGCAACAATTGAATTGAAATGTTCTACATAGTTGCTAGTGACGTCAGCAAGTAAGCTGCGGCTGTTGCGGCTAACATCTCTGAACACATCAGTGATCAATGGGTAAAGGCCCACTGTGACAAGATCAGGTACTAAATTGTCATCTGGCCGGGCAGTAGTAGGGTCCAGCTTGCAAAAATACCCCCTCTCAGCACATTTGTTGTGTTCCCCGAACACGTGACTTGGAATATTCAATATATCCATTCTGAGATTTTCTATTGCTTTACTTGATTCCTGTTCATTGATTGCATCATTCCTTTCCTTTTTACGGTGCTCAGTGGCTTTAGTTACTGCCATTCTGCAGCGTAACAAGTTGTCACCAATTTTCTTTCTGAGCCAAACGGAAGGTTTGCAGGTTTTAGAGGCTGCAATGGTTTTGAGTCTAGTGCACATATTTCTCAAAAAATGGTTCTTGCATTCTATTTTCTGAACAGTGCAGTTTTTGTAGGGCCGAGAATCAATTATTTTCTTATATACGCTGGAGTCCCCATCGGCGATAAGTCTTGCATACCGTACATTGTACATTTCCTCACTCTTTTTGAACCCCTCGCATACTAGAGCTGACTCCATTCTGGTTGAGCTTTGCTTCATGCTCCAGTTTTTATAGCATGTGTGTTCTTTTGCTGGCTCCCCTCTTGTATTAGCTCGAGCACAAGTTGTGCAGTACTTGTTTTTTACGCCAATAAAGAGTACTTTCCGCGTCTGAAATCCAACAATGGCAGCCTGAAAAAAATCCTTTGATTTATCTTATCTTACTAATATTATAAATGTGAAAGTTTGTGTGTTTGTTTGTTTGTTTGTGTGTTTGAAGTTCAATCACGCATAAACCACTGGACGGATTGGGCTGAAATTTGGCATGATGATAGCTTACATTCCCGATTAACATATAGCCATATTCTTATCTCAAAAAACCTGTCGGGCTCTGCCCCAGTGGCTCTATAATTCCCCCATGTTAACCTAATGATTATTCATATTTAAAGGGAATTAAAGAATTTAGTCAGCTGTTTCAACTAAAAAAGTTGGTTCTATGATACGGAAAAGCATTAAAAAGTTATAAGATTTACCAACACTATATTTTTTTTGCATTTAT